AATAATGTCAGTTTGAGGCCTATGGTTGCCTCATCCAAGCCATAGTCTTTTTAGTCACTTGCTATGCATCTGAGAACTAGACAGTGAATAAGAATGATAGAAGAGTTGGTGCATTTGGTTCTGCTAGAAGCACAAACAGGTATGTTTTGAAGAACGTGCAACTAGTCTTGGAGGCAAAGGTGATGAAGCTTCATCTCACATAACTTTTCAAGCATCTTGTTAGGGGAGGCAATTCTTTAACTTTCAGCATTTTGTAAAGGAAAGCTATCCCTTTTTCAGAGAGGGACATCTTGCTTGGAAAGATAGAGGGACAGCGAAAGAGAGAAGACCCTCAGCCAAATGGATTGACATGGTGATTGCAGTAATGGGCTTGAGTATGTCAGAGATTGTGAGGATGGCACAGGATAGGACAGGGTCTCTTATGAGTCATACTAAGCCCAATAGCACCAAGCAGCAACAAATGGCTCAGGAGGAGATTGCCTCTTTCTCCCTTGGAGCAGCTGGTCCATTTGAACTGTGTAACTTTGCATTGGGAGCGCAGTTCCACACCCCTAATGAAGTGGATCAACACAGTGGCTATAGTATGTCAGCAATGATGAGGATGATGCAAGACAGGGAGGGCAGTGTTCAGGTTGGCTGTGCCATAGGGTGGCTGTGAGTTGTACTCGACAGCACCTAAAAACAGCAAGAAGTCACCAGAGCTCCGTAGATGTTACCTACTGTTAGTTAAAGCAAAGTTCTTTGTCTTTTTCCTGATCTTAGGAGATAAGTGCATTTTTATATGTAAAATCTTTGACTCTGTGTGTATAAGGGGAGTTCTAGTAGCACAGTGGAAAGAAGCTGCACTGTAATCCGTAAGGCATGATATTTGAGGTCACCAGCTGCTCCACAGGAGAAGAATGAGCAGTCTCTTCCCATGTGATTAACTGCTTCTGAAAAGCCGCTGGAGGGTCAGTTAAGGTTTGATTCTGACTCTTTGGTACACAATAGCAACAACATGTATGTGTATGTATGCTGAAGAACTCGGGTGGCATAGAACTGAGGAATTGCACTGCCAACCCAAAAGCACGTGGCAGTATCTTCCCATGGAATTTATGGCCTCTGAAACCCACTGGAGAGTCAGCTATGAGTTGGTCCCGACTTGATAACAATAACATTATTATATTTTAGTGCTTTGCTTATATATATTTGTTATATTGTTTTCACAAATGACATTTGTTTGCCAGCCTTCCTACCTTCACCTTAGAGTAATTTTATAAGCACACTATGCTAATTTTTTACAAATTTATATAGCAGATAACATAAAAGCGCTCAGACATTATTTGCATAAAAATTAGTGTTTTTATTAAGAGCAGTGCCTCTTAAATGTTAACAAGAATCAGAATCAAATGGAAAAATTGTAGAAACAGATTCTTGGGTACCACTCCCCGAATTTCTAATTAAGTGAAATACGGGCTGAAATTTTTCATTTTAGTAATTTTTTAAACAATGTTGATGCTGCTTGTTGAGAAACTATGAGAACTACTCTTTGTTTTTTTGTACATTCATGGTTTGTTCATCACAGATACCCGTTTATTATTATTATTATTATTTAATTGTTGCACATTTTCTTCCCTCCCTCTCCCTTCCGCATCCTCCAGTCCACTTTGCAGTGCACTTCTTGCTGTAGATTTTTGTCATGCATATAATGCCTAATCATAAATTTTTTAGACAGTTCTTCCCTTCATTTGTTCCAATGCAGTAAGTATTCTTTGTCTAGCCACTCTTTTCCTCTTCCCCCCAGCTACCTATGTCAGTCCTATTTTATAACAGCAGTGTTATGCAGTATTTATCCCTTTGTGACTGAGATTTTCACTTAGCCTAGTGTTGTTCTGCAGGCTCACCAATGTTATGTAATGTTTTACAAATTCATTGTTATTCATTGCTGCTTAATATTCCATCATGTGAATGAACCATAGTTTTTCTGTACATTATTTGTTGTTTTTTTAAAAATTTCTTTATTTTTCATTTCAGTGAACATCTACAGAGATTTTGGAATTCCATTCATTCATTGTTGCACCCCTCTCCCCCTCCCATTTGCTCCTCTCCTTCAAACGCAAAAGAAAAACCCCCTCATTGGTATGCAGTCCCCCCCCCACGTCCCCCAACCCCCAAATATAATCCACTCTGCAACCCTCATTCCATACTCTTACAATAAACATAATGCCCTAAAATATAAAATATTCTCTCCCCCAAAGACTTCAATGCCGTAAACATATTTCATCCAGTTTTTCTCAGTCTTACCCCCATCCCGATGTCA